AACTGTACACTTCATAACAGCTTTGAGGTTTCATTGTTACATAATTCATCTGAACCTGACAAATATGTTCACACATTCTAAAGAAAACATTGTAAAAATACTGCAATATGTAACATCTTTTAAAGGTGGTTGCAAAAACATTTATTCTAAGTAATACAATTATACGCTGTCAAGTTTCACAAATGGCTGGTTACCATGTACAAAAGCTGGAAACACAAATTTCAAAAGATTTTAAAATTTCTACTCTATAATACGGAAGTCAAAGATATTGATTTGAACAATGGCTAAGTATTAAATCACAGACTTCAGTTAAAAAGTCACCTTAAGACCAACAACTAAAGGGTACAAAAAAAGATCAAATATGATAGATACAAATTATTTGATGTCATGTGTGAAAAGAATAATTTTAGTGGTTTTTGCCAGTTTAGAATAATTTGCAAACATTCTGAACTGTTCATTAGCGAAATCTTCACATTTACAATGTGAGGCAGTTCTCCCCTATTTTGACTTCTTTATCGTTCATTTTGAAATGAAGGTTTTACTGCATTGTGTCCCACAATTTCCATATTTTGCAAATGAACCCTATCACTTCTCTCAGTTGGAAGGATTAATAACAAGTTAATATGGATAATATCAACTTGGGGTTGGACTTTTTGCTTATGAAACAAAGTATAAATGCAAATATTTTATATATTAGAGTTGGTCTACCTGCTTCTTTTTTATACAATGACAGAATTTATGAAGCTATTCACACTGGAGATTACTGTGTATTTTAAAAGAAAAAACAAATTATAATGAAACCCACGAAATGATCTATATAGATGTATATAGAATACACCATGCATTTTATAGATAATGATTCTATGGCCAGTTTGTACATAGCCTTAGTGATTATAGTTTTTCTTGTGTCCACAAACTTTATTCTACAGCCAAATCACAGCCAAACATAATTTGTTGTATTGATGTTCTGGTTGGGAGAACAAAAAACAATTGTGAAAGGAATGACAAAAATAAACATTCAATGCATTAACCTTCCAACATTGAGACTTACTTCTCTTAACAACTTTTTACTCATATCTGTAATATGCACTGATATCCAATAAATTCTTTTTGAGGGAAGAAAAACATGAAATTGAATAACTGAAACCCTTCATCCTGTATAGTAAATAGGGGGTTCTGTGCACAGCAGATGCAACTCACAACAAACTTTCAGAAGAAAATGGCTTATTCTTACCTTCTGATAACAAGATCAGGCATAGCTTTGCTCTTTGGAGAGGGTTCTCACGGTCCAGGTAAATTTAGAAGAAATTATTGTCAGTTTGAGATTAAAATATTTCCATATAAATGTTTCTTTCAATAGCAAGTCATTTCTAGTCTCTCAGTATAGGTAAAAATAGGATTATTCTCATCAATTCCTCCCAGCAAAAGTATATCAAAGTCATTTCAGGCATGCGGAAGCCTATTCTTTCTCTTAAACATCTTCTACTTATTTTTTCAATCATCGTTTCTAGTATTCGAAATGTTTACATTCAATAAATCATTAAGTCTGCCCTTAATTTACTGCTTTCTTTTTTAAGGCTCTGCAGCATGATGGTGTCATGCTACCAAATCAAACTCTGATTTCCTATTTGCATGATGAACAGGGTGGAAGTAAAAATAATTTTTTCCTTTGAAGAGAAAACACTTGAACTGCATTTTAACTGCCACTGTTCAAATACACATCTTTTTGGTTAACCATTAATGGCAGATGACAAGAAATTATCAATACACCTTTTATTGAGTTACCACTCACTTTAATTAACAGAATATTAAGTAAATATAGAAGTCTTTTAATCAAGCAGAAAATTCTTACCTAAAAGGGTATCACTAGATAACATATTAGAAATAGCACTTAGTTTAACTAGCTTTGTTTCCCATGTAAAATATAAACTCATTATTTTCTTTACAGCAGGTTCAGATGAATCATATCCTGAGCCTTGTCACTGAGTAACTATTAATTGCTGTGTCATGGGGTTTTTGAACAATGTTACACGATTTACTTTCCACTAAAACTTAAAATACAAAGGAGTTTTTTGATTTTGTGTCTCAATATTTTTATTTCCATATGCTTTAACATCTTTGCTTAACTTCATTTTCTATTCTAAGTATAAATTTTCTTGCCTTTTTTTTTAACCTTCTTATTGGAATAAGACTGAAATGTACACTGTCCATGGTGCACATCTCAAAAGTAAGGTTGGGTAATTCAATATAGATACCTTCCTGGAAAGGAGACAATAAAAAGTTGACCTGATTTAAAAGAAAATTCTGTCTTGTAAAAACATTTGCATAGTTTTTACATCCAGTGGCCTGATCCTTGATCCTTATAAAGGCAAATGCCTTTCATGAAAACTGGAGATCTGGGCCTTTAGAATTAATCTGTTTATTTTTATTAAATGTTGAAGTTGCATTATTTATGGCATGCTTCCATAGTTTGCTTACCTGTCTTAATTATGTGGATTCTTACTTTATATTATTTACCTTCAGTTCTTTTGAATAATTTCTCATTGACAGCAATACATCTTTAGCCTAAAGATTGTAATAAATGTTTAGATCGATTAGAGTACTTCAGAACAAGTGTAGTTGCTTCAAGAAAAGGTTGTGAGGAAATCAGATTTCCATATTGTCTTTAGATTTAGGAGAGGTTGAATGACTTTCTTAAATCCTTATGAACCCCAGTTTTTTTTTTTTTTTTCTTATCAGGTAATTAGATTACCTGGTTATAATCACAATTAAGTTTGCAAAAAAAAAAAAAAAAAAAATCAGACTAATTCCATTCCATTAAAACACACATTCTTTGATAATATCAAATACTGTTTTTAAAGAGGTAAAGAAATTATCATGTGTTTGATGTTAAGATTTCATGTCCCTTTATTTGTAATAGTCTTTAGCTCTTTTGGTAACTCATCCTGAAATAAGTTATATTTTGTTGTATAGATAGCAAAAGTTGAGCCAGGAATGGAAGTTGGGCTTTTTCAATTTTGAAATAATTAATCATTAAATGAAAGCGTTCAGAGATTGATAGCTCTTTACTGAGTATGCAAAATTTTAAAATAATAAACATTATAGGAGAATAAACACAGCTGGAAATGTCAATTAAATATCACAACCAAATAGGTTGAAATATATTTGCTTTTATCTAAAACCTGAGTCAGTATTGATCAGTTTGTGATCTCCCTGCAGTAACTAGAACACACATACACTCCCCAAAACTGTGTAAGGAAGTGGGTGCTTGGCTCTGCTTTCCTGTCTCTGTTTCCCTGACACTAGTTCTAATGACATTGGTTACTGAACCATGAAAGTATTAATATGATGATTTTTACGTGTAAAATAAAGTACCAGAAACACAGCATCGGCCTGACAATGACAATTAAAATTGTCTAGAAAAATATTAGCAAGCCACTGTGAAAAATCATCAACTGTTCAGATTTTTGTGAAAAGATTGTGTGCTCCACAAATATTTATGTTCTTTTCCTATTTAATTTCCTCATTTCCCTGATTGCTTGTTGGCGAATCAGGTAAAAATGACAACAACCCCCCCCCCAAAAAAAAAAAACGAAAAAGAACATCAGTGTTGTTATACTAATAAATCAATACTTCCTCATTTTTCCTAGACTTATATTTGGTAAGTCCCTGAATTAGTCCCTGAAATTAGGTATTCATTATATACCAAAACTACAACTTCATAATGTGCCAGTACTGTCATTAAAATGTGGTGTCCCACGCAAATTAGTGAAAGATATTTCTAACATCACACCTTATTTTAAATACTGAAACTAAAAATATTTCTTTTTTTTTTTTCAAAGATGACCGGTAAGGGGATCTTAACCCTTGACTTGGTGTTGTCAGCACCACGCTCAGCCAGTGAGCGAACCGGCCATCCCTATATGGGATCCGAACCCGGGGCCTTGGTGTTATCAGCACCGCACTCTCCCGAGTGAGCCACGGGCCGGCCCCAAATATTTCATCTTCAATCACAAGCAGAAAGAAGATAAGTTATGTGCATATGGATGGGTGACTGTGTAGAGTGAGGGTGTATTGCATTACAAGTGGCAGGATTACATCTTTATAATATAAACTACCATTCATAGAGATCATGTTTTATCAGCTGATGATAAATGTGTACATGTATTTCACGAAAGATGAATTGTGGTCAATTTCCTCCCCTTTAATCTCTCTCACAGGATTAACAAATACTCTGGCATGATTCATTTTAATCCCTAGGAAACATTTAAAAAATATTTTAAAAACTTATTTTAATCTATAATCCCAATATTAAAGTCTCCTGATTGGCTGATGGTTCACATTTTTTCATCACAAGCATTGGCTTTTTCTCCTTAGAAAACAAAGAAAAGCATGAGCTTCTAAGGTTGAATGAGTCCTTAAAATATGTTTTTGGGTGAAAATAATTATTACATTCACTTAGGAAATGTAGTTGCTAATTTACTTTAAGCTGCAGCTATATCTACTAATAAAACAATTTGCCCAAAGATGTCATTCTATTAAGAGTATAACTTGTCTTTCCATTTAAGAATTTTTATTTCCTAGTAAAACAGAGTTCCAAAATGGAAGTCTCATCTTCAGTCATTCTGCCTACAGCTAGCAGGTCTTTTAGGCTTGATAAGGTAGCCAACTATTTTCAAACAGGTTTCTTTTATTATTTTCAATGAGAAAATGTTAGCTAAGAATACTTGTTTTCATTAGGATGGTACAAGCATTTTTGAAAAATTTTAGGCAGAACTGTGTTTGCCTTTAAATGTTAATGTGTAAAATATTTACATCTGAATTAACAGTAATGCCATCATTATGAAAGATGTCAACAAACAAAATTTTGAGGCTCTTATAACTTTATTTTTTAATATTTAGAAATAAAAAAATTTTATGAAAATAAAAATCTTATAATTGCTGATAAAATTTTCTCATCCTGATGAACATGTTTTTATATTCTAAGTATAAATTTTCTTGCCTTTTTCTTTAACCTCCTATTTGGAATAAGCTTGACATATACACTCTCCATAGTGCACATCTTAAAAGTAAGGTTGGGTAATCCAATATAGATACCTTCCAATAGGGCCTGGAAATGAGACAATAAAAAGTTGACCTGATTTAAAAGAAAATTCTGTCTTGTAAAAACATTTGCATAGTTTTTACATCTAGCAGCCTCATCCTTGATCCTTATGAAGGCAAATGCCTTTCACGAAAGACTGGAGGTCTGGGCCTTTAGAATTAATCTGTTTACTTTTATTAAATGTTGAAGTTGTCTTGTTTATGGTATGTTTATACAGTTTGCTGAAAATAAGTCATCCTTCCTTTAAGAAAATACCGAGTTCCAATGATTAGCTTCTGCCTGAGTTTAAGAGTCACCAGTCTAATGACAGTGAGCACAGACAGCTTTGTTGTACCTTTGGTGTCTGTTAGCATGGTCTATCAGAAATACAGAATCTACACAACAGCTTCATGTCACAAAAAACACATGTCACATTATTTGAGAACCTTACAAACACTTAAAAAACAAACTTCTGATTCTATTCACTTAGAAATACTAATGCTACATTTGAGATTAAGATTATTAGAATTTTAAAAATGTCAGTTAAACTAAGTGCAACAAATACTCAAACTAATGTAACAATAAGATGGTATAAAATTGTAGCCCAAATGGCTCAACCTCCATTTTCCAACTACTAAATATCACTTTTTAAATGTATATTCAAAATGATTCTTTAAATTTACAGCTTAATCTGTATATTTTAAAGAACAAGCTTGAGAGACAAAGTTTTGAGTTTGGCAAAGCCAAACCTCATCAAGAAGAGAATTTGTTGACAATGAAATAAAATATTATCAGATAAGTAACATTAATTTGATTGCACAAGGATTTAATACTATGTATGTTAAGTTCAAAAATTCATTAAAGTTTATATAGATCCATGTGCACAATTGGAAATGAACACAGTAGTAACAAATCAAAACCATAAATATGAGACATGTGCTACTTTATACAATAGCAGCATAAACTATATTTAATTTTAGATAAGTATGAATTATTTAAAAAAACACTTCTTTGTTTACGCAAAGAATCACACATATTAAAACACTTTGTGCTAATAGGCTTATGACACAAAGGATAAAATGCCTTATGTAACTAAGGACTATTTGTATTCAAGTAAAACATATTAAAATATTCAAAGTCAAAAAACAGACCAAAAAGTAAATCAAAAGTTGCACATCAAGTTTGTTCATTACCATGGATATATTTTAAATGAGGAAATCAAACCTTCCACTTTTTTTTTCTGATCCAATGAGCACATGGTCATAGGTCCTTATTATAATGATCTTATTTCAGAGGCATTATGGTGTGGAAGGTGGTTTGGGAGAAGGACAGGATCCTTGACTATCAAAACTGGTTGCCCGGCCAGGTAACTGAAAGACAATAATTTCATACTATATGATCTAGTGCATAAAATACAAATATGGTGGGTAATTGTTTATCTCTTTTAATAGTGAATATGTAAGTCTCTGGAGATATGCAGAACTCTGCCCTTCAGAACTTATCTTCTAAGGTCGTGTGAGGGGAGCATGAATATCTCATAGAGACGTACGCAGAGCATGGTACATAGATGGTACACAGAGCAGCACTGTACAAACAACTATTTGTGAGTGCAGACTACTTTCACATTTTATGACAGGTTTTTAGTTGTTTTTGCAAAATAATTAACGTTTTCCTACAGTGGGGGGCAATTGCTAGGTAAGAGCAATAAGAGGTTCTAAACACAAGAGACTACATTCCACTTGCTGTAAGGCAGGAAGTGGTTTTTATGAGGGCAATTAATGAGAGGAGAGGGACTGAGTGTGGCAGGTAGGAGCCCCGAGTGACAAAGAATAATTTCTCATGATGCTTAAATATCTATGTGTGTTTAAAAAGCTTAATTACAGCAGAATAAACTTTTCACTGTCTAGGCAGAAGTAAACAGATTTTCTAAATGATGCTTCAGTCTCTCTCCCACCCATTTACCCAGCTCTAGAGTAATTCTCCCCTTCTCATATTTATCCTTTTTCTGGCAAGAATGCATATATTTGCACACTCATTTTTCCTGTTAATACAAAATCCAGCCAGTTCTGAGGGCTTCAGTCCATATATTCTGTCTGACCGTGGAAGCAGGGATTAAAAAAAAGGGAGAAAATTGCTGGAGAAAGTACATTTACATAATCTTTTAGTCTTGCTTGTTCTTTGATACACAGCTACCAGAAAAAATCTGGGTCCTTTTTTTCTGATTCCCATATTGTGGTGTATCTTCCTGTACATCCTATCATGACTGAAAAGTGTTTACATATTCTCAGACGGTAACACCTGCCTATTCCATAGGTCCCTTCGTCAGATAAATGCATAACTTCTTATTGAACAGGTATAAATAACTAATATGCCTTTCATCATACAGCACCTTTATCCTCATTAGATAAAAGTTCTTGCTCACATTATCTCATATCTCCCTGTGCCATCCCAGAGAAGCCTGTAGGGACAGACAGTTCTATTTTCATTAAATACAGAGAAATGCAGCTGTAGACAGAATAAGTGGCCTGCCCAGGATTAGACAGCAAAAAAAAAAAAGAACAAGGGTTAGAACTTATGTCTCCATTTGGTGTGGGTTCCTGCCCAGCAAAGCTTCACTCTCTCTCCCTTCTAGATTCTTAGAACTAATGCTCACTTTTCAAACTTATTAAAAAAAAAATAAAGACCAGAACCAGGAAAAGGATAGTAATTACACAACATATAGTTCACTATACTTTAGACAATACTGTTGAAACAAAACATAACTGCCCAAAATTTGTTGAGCTACTCAGAGAATACTCTGTACTCTAGAGGAAACAATCTAGGGGAAAACATTGTGTGACTGTGTGTGTGCCCGTGTAAATGCATATTTGTGTGTTTGTCTGTCTTCTATGACTTGCACTGAATTCTGAAGTCAGGTGAAGACTTGGAACATTCATACATAAACAGATAGCTATAATGGCAGGTCACCCTGGTTATCTGGGCATGCGATGTTAGTACACTATTCATCCAGTTTTCCCTACAATGTTCAGATTAACACAGCCATGGTCACACTTCTGTAACTAGGCTGAGATTAGAAACTGATGCCACTGGTATTTATTCAGTTACACTGCACAGCCTTTCTCATTCAAACCGGTGCCTGCTGCTAGAACAAGAAGCAGAAGCTCACCCACGGGGAGGTGGCAGATGTATCGTTCACTTACTATGTGGTTATTACAACTATTCTTTTCACTGAATTGCATAAAATCCATAATCTACTCTACCTCCCTTTGTGAACTTACATTACCGCTCAGTTAATCAGGTCATATAAATTACTTACTTTGTCTTCGGGAAAAAAAGCCATTCAACCTAGAAACATTGAGTGCATCGAGCAGACTGATGACTAACTTCTTGGGTAAAAATTCTGATAGAAAACTGGTATTGATACTTCCGTCTGGTTAATACAGCTATTAATCATACTTATAATAATAGCTAATATTATGGCATACTCTGTGCTAAGCACTTACTATTCAGCATTTATTTAGTTTTACAGAGTGCACTACTATTAAAGAGTCATAGCAGAAACTTAGGTTAAAGTAACTTGTCCAAGGTTCTGGTTATTAGTAGTCACACAGCAGAGCCATGCTTTGAACTCGGGTAAGCTGTTGCCTCAGTATTTTTAAAATCTGAGCAGTTTTACTCCTGAGTTGGGGGAGATATACCTATCCTCTTACACAGATAGGTTGAATTAGGTGACAGTACCTTTATTTAGGGATTCTGGTGAACTTTAGGTAAGGTGGCTGTTTTCACGAAAGGAAGCACTAAATTTCATTTCCAGTTAGTAATAAAATTACTAGATTGCTCCATCACTCACTGATGTAAGTTTTCAGGCTATGCAAAGAAAATAACAGACTTGCAGTTTTTAATGAGCTTGTTGTCCAAAGGCATACAAAGCCCAGATAGTCTAGTGTTTTTTAAAATCCAACAAGGCGCACAGAAGTTTAAATACTAGGTATTAGAGACTATGGGATAAAAGCAAGAGCAATTTTTTGAAAAAAGGTGAATACATAAAATATCAGATAAAGGTTAGTAGGTAAATAATATTTGAGTGAAAGATAACAAAGAAAGTAGATGTCAGGAAATCACGAGCTTACCTCCAACAAAGGGTGCCAGTGTGTTATTGGTTTTCGGTGATAGGCCAGCATTTCATTCCAATGGTCTCGCCCAAGACCCTCGGCGTCCAGTCCTGTTCTACACACTCCTATGACTTCATTGTGTCCTACCCTGTGATTCATAGAATATTATAGTTTTGTTTCTGACATTCAAAGATAAATGAAGCTTCACACTTCTTAGTAGAATTTTAAACATCTGATTAAAACACTAATTTCTGTGATTTTGCAGATTATATTACTTCAGACCAAATGAAAAACCTTAAGTAAATCAAAATTTGCTAAACAATATCAACATTCAGAAATGTGTTTGTATAGAACCACACACTAACCATTTTAGTGCTCTGTAACTCGAGCACGTTTCACAATAATAAAAATACTGTGACGTAGAAAAGTCACTAGGTTCTTACCTATATGAGTTTCTTTCATAGAAGCAGTCTTATTAAGTTTAAGTAAGGTAAATCAAATCTTGTTCTTTCTACCAGGTTTAATGTTTTATAATGATGTTGAGATTTCTCACAGAGACCACAGTACCCACTTTATTGTATAAAAGACCACATTTAATTGACAATAAATGATGTCAGTATATGTTATTGCTTGAACTACAATGAAACATCGCAGGGTTATGTTCAGTCCCATGGCTTCTGATTTATTACTGCATAACAGTGAGCCTAATGGACAACATTCCTATTTTCTATTTAAGTCCTGCTTTCACAGCAACAAATCAAAATAATAATAGTTAACATTTTTGAGAGCTTATTATGTGTTAGGCAGCATTCTAAATAATTTAAATGTACTGACCCCTTAATTCTCACACCATGACCATGAATATCATTATTATCATCTCATTTTACAGATAAATAAACTAAATGACCAGAAGGTTAGGAACTGGCCTGACTTTGTACACTTAGTAGGAGGCAGAGGCAGGAGCTGGGTCAGGGAAGTTGACTCAAGAGTGTGTGTGGTAAGTTGATTCTCAAGAATGAAATGAAATTTAAAGGAATTTCTCTAAGGTTATTTTGACAGACACCTCTGAAGAGACTTTTGAGATGATCTTAGGACATTTCATTACTTTATTCCTGTTACTGAAGTACATATGTATACTAAGTTTCATTTTCCTCAATATGATGTTTCCTAAACAAGCATACTTCTGTAAATAAAAATTTTAAAATCTTCCCATTTTATATTATATTGTTAGGTTCCATTGCGTGGGTGACAATGGTTACTATCATTTTCACGATACTATAAGATGGACATATTTTTTGTGTGTCTATGTATTCTGTACCACTTTTGTCATCATCAGAACAAAATAAATGTAGTGAGGCACTGTTTACAGGCTGAAAATTTTGTCTGTTAAAGATACAGTATTTCCTTCCCAAAATGTACAAATATAAAAGGCAGAATAACAATAAGAAGTATACAGTAAGGGCTGAATAAGAGATGTGAACCTCTAGTGGGAGACGAGTTCAGAAGAAGAGGTTGGTCACCAAGAAAGTCTTATGGAGGTGCTGGTGTGTGCAGGGCTGTGATGCATGTGTGGGACACGATACACAGAGGAGGGGGACATTTCAGACAAAGGGACGAGTGGGAGGGCAAAGGTAGGAGCTGCAGCATGAACCTTCAGAGCTCCACCAGGGAGTCTGCCACTAATTTTATGAAAGGAGAAGTGGCCACCCATGTGTGAGCTGAAGAACTATCCACCGAACAACATTTCAGGATGGATGTAAAAGCATCAAGGCGGACTCCCCGTGGCCACTATTCACCTTCCATTCTTAGTACTCACTGTCCACAGTTCCACATCATGCTAAAGTTTTACAAATGCATAATGTGAATCCCAAAGAGATTAAGTTGGCTTCTCACACATCTAGTTAATGACAGAGCTTTGATAAGCATCACGATATTCAAATTCCAGCCCAGCTGGTAAAACAAAGTCTGTTGATGGTAATCTCTGTTATTAATGTAAAAATACTTCACACTAGTGCTTTCAGTAATGTATTCTTGCTGCTTTTGGGTCTATTCTTTCACCAGCCCCAGATAAATTTCAATTTAAGAATGACTTCTTTTGGGGAAAAAAACCTCCAAAACTGTAACATAGAAAAAATGAATTTCTATTGAATTATTTTTCCCTCCTCCCACTTAAACTGAAACCGTTGTAGCAGTAAATTACCTGAAAAGTTGAATTTGGACTGCAAATGACTAGACATGGCCGAATGGAGAGACACACGTACCTATCGTAATCCATGACCGCAATGGAGAGGCTGACCTGGTCCACGTTCTCCGGAGGGATGTCAAAAATGATGGCCTCATTGTACACAGGGTTTAGAGTGTTTTTCTTTGTTGTTGTTTTCCTCTTTTTTAATCTTCGACCCTCACACATCAGAGACACTTTGACATAAGGATCTAGGAGTGTAAAGATAATTTTATTAAGATGAAAGTAATCGTACAAAGCATAAACAAAACTGTAGTTCATTTTACTAAATAAGAAAAGTAGTATATTAAGCCCTTTGTTATTACCAGTTAAAAATTCAAATGAGTTATGAAGGTACTTCAAAATGTTCTTGGAAAAATATAATTTAAAAATTATATGAAACTTTCGATGAATTTTTTTGAAGTACCCTCATCTTTGAGGACAATAGATTCTCTAAGACTTCTTACTTAAATGTAAGCAATTTATCTTGAATAAACTAGAAAAAAATTAACTTAATCTCATTTTTTTGATAAAAGAGATAAAAACTACTAGTTTATCACAAGCCAGTCCAGAACTTTAATGTATCTTTTAACCACAGCTATTTGAGGACACATTTTGCTAGGAGTGATTTATAAGGAGTGTAATCCTAATGAATAAGAATAATTGTATTAAGGTTAGTTTCCTTCAGAATGATTTATAATAAGAAGACTAAAACTTGTGAAAGACTTAGCAACACTTTATCCAGACAATTATGTATAATCACAATGTGTAGAAATTAGAAAGCAAAAATGAAATTATACTTGGAATTTTACTCAATTGCTGGAAAGGTACTAAAACTAGAAGTATTTTTGTCAGTGTTGGTGCTTGATAAGGAGCTTGGACTGAAGAAATGACCACTACAAATAGTTTATAAAATGCACAACAGCATATGATTAAAAAAGGGCAATATTTGGTTTAAAGATGGCTACAAGGAAGGCCCCTGATATGATGTTGTATATATGATGCAAACTGGAGCGATAAAAATTTAGTTGGGCTATATTTTTATGGGTCAAAGAGAGCAAATAATTATTTGTTAACAAGTTCTGCTCCAGCTGATTTGATCACCACCCTCTCTTACCCCAACCATCTTAAGCAGAAAAACTGCTACAGTGTTATAAAATATTATGCAATATTACACAAATGTTTCTAAGAAGCTTAACTTTTGTACCTTTTTTTTCAAAAGAGGCAGGGCTTTGGGAGGGGATGTTGGCACTGGAGTGAACATGCTGGATAGTTAAAACGATCAGTGTCTGCTTTATCTTCATTATTTTTTTCCATTCTGGCCACCATCGAACTATAGAACCACCATCTTGTTTTCTCTATTTCCATAGGAGTAAATTTAATTTACTTAGAATAAGCCAAAGTGATGGTAATATACATTTATTGGAACAGGTGAATGTTTTTAATCTCTAGAAAAATGTATCTATATATTTCAAAATCATTTTCGTCAAGGACCAAAAGATATTTTGTGGCTAGAAAAAGGGTATGTAGAGGAAAACAAGTTAACAGAGCAATGCTAATATCTGTTTCCCATTTATTTTTAAATTCTTTAATAAGAAGTATGTGCTAAGTAAGAAGCTCACTTCTGTGATAAACTTTTGGGTATGACCCTGCAGGCCTAGGCCTTCTCATTAACAATGGGAATGAGGCATGGTTTATCCTTTGTTACCCCCAGCATGGCTCTGACTACATTTCTCTGCTTGTGACAAGGATAATTTATTGGCTCCTTATTTGATTCACAAGCCTGTTGTGAGGATTAATGAGGTGGTGCTCTCAAAGCATGCGCTCCTCCGATGAAAAGCTTCATATAAATAAAAGTGATCTTGCACTTAATTACAACTTTGATGCTGTTTGCGTGTCTAAAAATTTGATCTCTTTTGATATATGCTAAAAAGAGTAGAATGTTCAATAATTTACAGAGTACACTGTTTACCTTACGTTCTTCAACATTTATTGACCCAAGACTTTCTCACTAAAATAAATATGAAGTTTACTAGCTGTTCTACCTTTATATTCACACTATCTATTGCAAATTGTAAAAAATGAGTAGGTAATTGATGACATCGTACAAAAATCAAGATGTTAGAGAAAGATATACAATAAGCAGTCTCCCTCCCTTCTGTCCCCATCCTTCTCCACCCTTTAGATTTTGTGTGTCATCCCAATATTTCTTTATGCAAATACTGGCATTATGAATTTATGTTCTAAAATTCCCTATTCTTACACAGAAGCAAGCATAATGTCTACATTTATTTTTGTTCCTCCTTTTTTATTCACTCATATATGCTGGAGTACTTTCCACACCAGAATTTAGAGTTCCCTTATTTTTTTTGTAATAAAAAATTAGCAAATTTAGCTTTTTTTTTGTTCTGAAGAAGCACAAAGTTATAGATACCCTCATGTCATCCTTTACTATATCTCCACTACTACTTCTTATTTCTGTTTAATTTGACAAATACTTACTGATCTCCCTACTCTTCCCTCATTTTTCTTCCACAGAGCTATGCCAGTGTTTATGTATTTACTTATAAATAATCCCCAGAACTGCAGTGATTTAAATGAAGAGATAAAGGAGCATGATGTGGCTCTACCTCTTTATAAACATTAGTTCGAGAGAAATTTCCTTCAAGAATTTCTTTAACAAATTTCAAGAAGCGGTAATTTACCTTATTATTTCTTTCAGTCCCTACTGCTGCCCAGATTTTTAGTTAGAAAGGTGGCAAGAATGCAAATAAAAATCATGGCCCTGGTACATGGTTGTTTTTCTGCAGATCTGGTGAGGGAAATAAATTCAATATAAATATGTCCTCACAGGGCCCTCACTCACAGCTTAAAGTCCAAGAATCTTCCTCTATAAACAACTGACTAGCTGAAAGTGGGGGAGTGGATGGCAAATCACGTCCTTTTGAGATAGAACTAAATCAGTAGAAAAAGAAATAAAAACAAGAACTCAAGTTCAAAGCTAATCTATTTGATAACAACTTTTTTAACTTTCATAATAATAATGTAAATAAAAGAGATGATTTGGAACATTTTAATTTATAATATTTTTTTTCTCCTTTTATAGTACTCCACTACAGACAAATAATTCAATAGCCATATATTATTTTAGATACATGGAATATTTTATTTGGGAGTGTGCCCTTGACCCACTGGCCAATCGTGTATGTACCTGATGAGCCAGTAATATCCATCGCCTTCAGATTTCTGCACTTGATGACTGTCAATGTCATGCGCCCAGCAGTCGGCAGATAACAAAGGGAAAACATGATTTCACCCAGGTCTACACTTTCCTAGAAAGGCAATCAGTAATGTTAGCAGTTTCAAACACCGAGTAGTGAAAACAAAATACAATGGAAAGTGATTTTTTGGGCAAAAATCACTTTAATAGAATATTGGAATGTCATTTGAAATTGTTTTATTGAGGACACAGATAACATTGCAAGAAAGCTCTTCTAAATGGAGTAATAAATAAAAGTGTATGCCAACTGGTTATTTGACATCTCCACTGGTATTTATACAAGAATCTCAAACTAAATACAGTTAAAACCAGACTGCTGATTCCATCCATTCTCCATCATTTTCTGAAACTGATTCTTCTTTCAGTCTTTCCACAATCAACCAATTACATCATAATTCACGCAGAAGCCAAAAACCTAGCAATCACTTTTATTCTTCTCTTTCCCCCACCCCTATATCAACCCATGGGCAAGACTTATCTACATTAACTACAAAAATATCATAAACCACTGACTTTCTTTTTTGCTCTGTACTACTATTCAAGCTACCATCACCTCTTGTCAGGATTACTTCATTAGCCTCTGAAATTGATCTCCTGTTTGGAAGTTAATCTTCACAAAGCAGTCAAAGTGATCATTTACGAAATGCAAACCAAATGATATCACACTTCTGCTTAAAACTATCTAAGGGTTCACAACTGTACTGGAGTAAAACTCAAACTCCTTACTTTGGCATGTAAGTCTGGTGTGCTTGGGAAATTCCTGGTTTATACCTGCTGTTCTGGTGTAATTATTAAGAACATCTCCTTCCACCCTTAAGCATGTCTTTGTTTTCCATTAACAAGGTCATGAACCTAAAATCCATGTCATCTGGATTCTACATTTAGCTCTAACTTCATCTCTTGCCTCTCTCTTCCAGCTCTGATGCAGACACAAAAGCCCCCAGCCCTTTTTTTTGTTACTCAAAAAATGAAGTTTGTTCCTGCTTTTGGGTTTTTGTATTTTTTTTTTCCCTTGAGACTTGTACTTTTATCTCTTATATCTTTATATGGCTAACGTCTCACCATGCAGGACTCAGCTCAAACAGCATCTTTTTTTTTTTTTTTGTCTTTTTTCGTGTCTGGCAACGGATCGCAACCCTCAGTGTCGCGCCCGTACCGGACCGGGACCGGCAACGGGATCGCAACCCTCGGTGTTGCACCCGCGCCTCGCTCAGCCAGTGAGCGGGAACCGGTCTGTATGTGGGATCCGAACCCTCGGTGGGAGCGCCACCGCGCCCCCAAGCGGCACACTGTAGCAGTGCGCCACCGGGCCGGCCCAAAACAGCATCTTTTCAGTGATGCCTTCCCCTGTCTTTCATTCTAAGGTAGCACCCCCCCTCCTAACCTGTACCTACCCAATTCCAGGACCTTCACATTTTTCATAGCACTTATCACTTTCTGAAATCATCTTTTAAATTCATTTTTTTTTGTTTGTTTGTTTCCCTGAGTCGCATACATGATGAGAACAGTTCTTGTCTGTCTTATTTTCTACATCCTACTGAAGTGCCTGGTACATAGTTGGTACTCAATACATATTTTTTGAATAAATGAATACATTATTTAATCAATCTGGGTGAAAACTGATCTGTTTTGTTCATTTATAAAGCAAAACTCTGGAGTACCCTAACAGATTTGTATGCTGTCTTTGGCTACATAGATGGCAGATGAATGGAAATGAATGTGGACAATGAATAATTTAGTATGACTCTCAAAGAGTTGTACAAAATTCAGTCAGATCATTCATGGTGAGACAATGTATGCTAGGTTTAATTTTGGGGAAGTTAAATTGTTGACTATGCACCCAAGTCCACAGCACCTGGTTCTTAAAAATTCTTCATAATGAACTATTAACATTTATTCGACTTATACTTACAGCTCAGGTTCTGATTTACATAATTCTTATTTTTTTTACTCATGGTCTAGAACTAGTAGAGCCCAGTAATTAAGAGCATAAACTTAAAAGTTAGTTAAACTTGAGTTTGACCCTCAGTTTTCTACCTCCTAGCTATGAGACCCTAGGAAATTTAATTATGTTTTGAATCTCCAAAATTTCATTTTTGAATTGAGGATAATACCTGCTTCACAGAAGCTGTGTTAGATGAGATAATGTAGTTAAAAAATAAGACATTTAACACAGTGTCTGCGTATGATAAAGGGTGTTGCTTTGTTCAGTGTTGTATTACTAGCACACGAAGCAATGCCTTACACATGTCAGATGCTTAGTAAGTACTAGATAAGTGAAAAATTTAATAAATAAAAGCAATTATTATTTTTCAAGAAAATTGATAGAAAATAAGTATTTTAAAACAAATACACACACACACACACACACACATATCTCCAACTGGGTCACCTCTGGGCTGGTGGATTGCTGCAGACCAAAAATAGTGAGCAGGATCCCGTAGAAGTGGGCTGAAGAAAACAGGAAGACAATCTCCTACTAAGGAAGAGATTCATTCCTTTCATCACCTAACAATTATTGAGCATTATTTGTTAGACACAGTTCTTGGTGCTATAGACACCAAGATGGACATGGCATGATTCTGCCCTTAAAGATTTCAATTGAGAAGGAAGAGAGTAGGCTATAAAAGGATAAGAAAATACACCTAAATCCCATTTTTATCTGATGATTCTCTCCTTCTTTCTCTCTGTTTCTTTTTCCAAGCATCTCTTTAGGCTCAGTTTCTGGGATGAAGTTTTCAACCAGTCTCCTATCCCTCACTGGGTATTTCTCTTTTCAGTTACTGTTAATAAGTGCAGGCAAATTTTGTTGCCAGCTGGTCAAATTAAGGGATCTATTTATGAATGTAGAGAATGATACCAAGTTCCACCAAGAAACCTGGTGGTGGTGATGGAAGCCAGGAGAGAAATAAGAGACATGATCTTAGGAATGAAATATGCAGAATTCAACAGGAAATGTACCACATGAAAACAGGAAAGAAACCCCACACAAAGAGTCATCTAAAGGGATTAACAAATAACACATATTTTCACATTCTAACTGATATATAGTTTTACTTTTACATATTAAATAACCTGTGAAGGTAATTTTTTTTACTTCTCCAGCTATATTACATGCTTATTGGTTGGAACAAAGAAAGTTCATCATGTTTTATCGCATCCTTCAAGGATCCCTTCTGTGGTTTCAGTTGCTATATAATTTTGACCATCTGTTATTTGCAGGTATTGATAAACACAGAAAAGTTAAACTGAGGAGTTGACCAAAGTATCAATCTAAATAAATGGAAAGCAAGGAGCCCCATTAACGGGCATCTTCCAGCAGCTCTGTATCACAAGCTAGTTGGCTTTATGCCTACTGCAATAGTAAGAACTCTGCTTAAATATTCAAACTCCATGTAGTGAGGAGTTTTAAGGCAACTGGAATAAACTATGTGATAAAACTAATGCATGGTATGCATGCATAATAATTGCACAAAAATTTAATTCTTCATTAGACTAAAATTATCTTTCAGGAAGTATGAATGTGAAAGAACAAACTGTCTACAACTGAAAAGGGCAGAATACTCTCTAAGATAAATACAAATATTCTTAAACTTTTAAAATCTGGATGTTATCTAAGAGATAATTGTAAGAAAATAAACTTAGTGAAGGTAAATGGCTGGATGACCTTTAAAAAGGTCCTGTGCCAGACATAATGCAGAACTCTGGATTTTGGCTACAGTGCTCTGAGTACTGGGGCTGTCCCCATCTTGACATTCCAACTCCAGTGAGCAGGAGTTTTAATTGCCACTTCTCAGTCTGCCCCAATGTGGCTCCTAAGGCCATACTCAGCCTCAATTATCTGAACACTTTGGAGCCCAGCAAAGAACCAGGAAACAAATTGAAAGGTCTGTGAACATACAGCGTAAATATAAGCAAATTATACACGAAAGTTTTTTTTTTTTTATATAAGGAGACTACGTCTTATTCAACATCCATTGCTATTATTTTAGATAAAATTTTAACAAGAATATTTACTTGGTATATCAATCTACAGCAGGTCAAAACTCACATGTGAAATGTGGAGATGGGGAAATTAATAGCTGTAGGTCTAGTGAAGGCAGCGATAAATGATAGCTACAAAGATACAATACAGATTAAAAAAAGAAGCAAATATTCTAAAAGTGATAGTAATCTGGAGTCATTTCGTTTTAAAGGGAAGTAACCATAATAATGCCTCAGTCACTTAAACTCTTCACATTTTATTACAGACTTGAACAGTAATTAATATTCAAAATTATGACCTTGAGTCATCAAGATAAGGAAACATATGCTACATGTTCTGTTTAAGAGGTATAGAAGTACAATCTATTTTTCAGGATTATTATCTGACATGCTTAAAATGTTTAAGGGAGTCATTTCAGCTTAAAATAAGAAAGGCTTTGAGTTTCTAAAAATTTTATTTATGTGTAATCTCATTTCCTATAATTTTATATAAACATAATTTTCTCATATTGAACTTTAAAAAACTCTTTTATCTTTGGGTATATAACCATTTGAAAGCCTGTTATAAAGTCTGGGATAGATAGAGTGTTCTATAAAATTTATTTCAGGTAAGATTTTTACTCTATTTTCACACACCCTAATTTGTTTGGTTGAACATTCACAACAACAATTTTCTGAGACTTGAAAAAGGGGTTTATGGAGAAAGGCTGATGCGGAGGCTGAGTTGGGGGCTGTGCATTTGACTTCTTCCTCCAGGATCCACCAACAGGGAGCTGGGTAGATAAAGATCATTTTCTGATGACTGGTTATAGTCATCCTCACAAATATAGTTGCAGTTATAAAGTTTTCCCCATGTACTCTCTCTTCAAAATAAAAATAAAAGCCACTGGAGAGATAAATTGATGCAGAAGTATTTGCACAGCACATTCTATTTCAGGACTAACTGAACAGCTTGATTTCACTAAATAGGAATTGAGTGTAGGAGACTGAGAGGAAGGAGATTGGAAGCTGACTACTAATGGTTGTAATAACCAAAGGGAGCATTTTTGGAGGGAAGTGATCATTATA